TTTTTTTTTTTTTTTTGCTTTGAAGTTGCAATCCTCCTGCCTCCGTCTCCTTAGCTGCTTGGATTACAGGACTGCGCCACCTTGCTTGGCAAGCTGGGGCACTTTGAAAACTTGTCTTTGCCAAGGCTCTCCTGCTATTCCCAGGGCATCTGATTTATCAGGGCCAAGAGGACCTGGGCATCTGTATTTGATCCTATAGCTGATTGTTACTTTCATCTTCATGAAGAATTTTTTCATGGTATTGAAGACCGAGAGGGTCATCATGAAACTGCTGCTGCAGAATTACTCTTATCCCACCTAGAGATGAGGTGTAAAGAGTGGAAGGACAGGGCTGGGATTTTGGCTCAGTGGTAGAGCGCTTGCGTAGCTTGTGTAAGACACTGGGTTTGATCTTCAGCACCACATAAAAATAAATAAAGATATTGTGTCCCATCTGCAACTAAAAAAAAGAATTAAAAAAAAAAGTGGAAGGACAGTAGATACGGGTTTTATGGGGCCCACCTTGACTTCATTATGCTTCTCTGCAGGAAGTTGGAGCTGCCATCTGTGTCTGGACCTATTGAAGGAGAAAGCTTCCATCTACCAGAACCAGAATTCCTCCTGATGTGCCACCCCCAGCTCCCCCACATATCTAAGGCTGTTTCTCTCCTCCACCTTGTTTTTTCATACCTTTCCTTTCCTCCTCTCTTTCACAAGTCCAGAACCTTGGGGTGGTCATGCCAACCTGTCTTTGGCAACAACAAGCAGAGGTGGCAGCTTGACCACCTCTGGCCCCAGGCCCTCAGGGAGAAAGGAGCAGCACGCTGCCCCAAGGTGTACCCGTGGGCCCAGCTTCTCTCTGCTCTCCATGAAGTGCATTCACTCTGCTTGCCTTGGGCCCAAGCCTTGGTGATCACAGGGTTCAAACCGTATCCTCTGAGAAAGAGTGGGAGAGCAGCTCACTTCTCTTGGCCCAGCTTCTGCTCTGGTCTCCAGAGTTTCCTCCCCAGAGATGAGCCAGGCCGGGCCTGCTTGATGGGAGCAGCTGAGAGTCAGCAAGCTGAAGCTACGCACCAGGAATCTTCCATGCCCTTTGTGCTGCTTAGCTTTGCCTCCTCTCTCCAGGGTGGCCCTGCTACAAGGGGTCTTTTGCCTGAGCCAGGATGCTCTTGGTCACCTTCCTGGCTTTGCTCTATCCTGCCTCACCCCATCCAGGGGAGTAGCAGCTTCACCTGTCCTTCCTGTGCTTGCCTGGCTCACTTACCAGTGGTCTCTGGAGACCCAAGCATTCCCCACCCTCAGAACCTCCTGTCTTCTGCCTCCCTCTTTGTTCCCTTTGCTTTTGTGGGGAGAAGGGACACATCAGGGGGCCAGACCAGCAGTTTGGGGGCCACAAGGAGACGTTGGATAATGTGCCTGTTTTTTAACTCGACAAAAAAGCCTACCTCCAAAATCCCCTTTTTGTTCTTCCTGGACCTGGGCATTCAGCTTCCTGCCCTTTACTGAATTGGGAGCTTCTGCCTCCTGCCTGTGTATCCTGACTCCTAGGTCACAGGAATGCATAGATGTCCCCTTCTTCCCTTGCACGCTCGCTAGCAGCTGGTAAGGTCTTCATGCCCTGATTCCTTGGTTTTCTGCTTAGTGGCGCTGACGCTGACATTAAGTAGAAGGGGGATGGTCCATGCCAGGACACCCTGGAATGACCTTCCTTTGCTTGTGGGCAGGCCCTAACTCACTGTCGCTTTGGAGTTGTGTCTCTTCTCCCCTCCCCCTTTCTTTAGTTCCTGTATTCTAAACATTAGTAAAAATAAACATTTTTACACAGAGCCCTCTCTTGGATGGTTTATCTCCTAACTCTCCTGGTTAAGAAGGCCATGTTATCTAAAACTTTATTCCTTCAGTGTTTTTTTGGTTTTTTTTTTTGTTTGTTTTTTTATCGTTTTATAGCTTTTTTTGCCCAAAATCCAAATTTTTGAACATGTAAGCCGATAAAAAAAATTAGTTGTTTTGTTATGTAAATTCAAGTTTATAACAACTTCTTATAAAAAACAATGAAGCTGTTTTCATCAATACAAAGTTTGGGTTGAAATAACTAACATCCTGTTTATTTCTGTGCTTTGGTTGGTTGAGAATATTCTGCTAGACTTGGATAGAAGTGGTGACAAGTTTATAATAGTTTACCTTGAAATCTCAAAGATACTTAAAATGGATCCAGAAGTTTGATTATTATATAAATTTAAGTGACAGTAACATAGGACATAAGTAACATCACCATGGGGCACATGAAAGCATTTGCATAAATAATGAGGGCAACCTCCTTCAGAGGGGCCTTAGTCTTGGTCTCAGCCCTGTCATAATGTTGCTTCCCTACAGTATTCCTGGGGCAAGAACTGTCCACAATGCAGCTCTGCAGTCTTTCCCAGGATACATTTATATGCACAAAATTAATCTCTTGCAACAAAGTAAACATTTTGATGCTGTGTAGAGGATCTTGTTATGTCTCACTTGAGTGTGTGTTGAAGTTTTAAATTTTGTTTTTGTGGTGCTGGGGATCAAATGCAGACCCATGCAAATGGTAGGTAGGCAAACACTCTAACCACCGAGCTACACCTTAGCCCTTAAATACTTTAGAGAAAGATTCATTTATTTATAGGTCCTCTGAAGTCTTCTTTGGTTTGGTTTTGCTTCTGGGTCATCCTGAAAGTCGCCTTTTGGAAGACTGAACTCTGGACTGTTCTGTTACAGTAAATAGGGTGTTCTGAACTGGGATGTGAGGAGCTGAGCACGTACATCCTTGAGTACTTAGACTAAAGAGGCCAGGAATAGAGGGAGGGAGTGGGGCCACTGTCCTTGGCGGTTGAGTAGCCAGGGCTGGAAAAGAAAGGTGATAATGAGAACACTGAAGCCGGCATGAGGGGATGTGAGAAGGGTTTGCAGGACTTGGAGCGGTGGATAGCAGCTGGTAGAATGCAGTGGTACGGAAGCCTATAAGCTAGGCAGGCTGGGAAGGGGGGAAGCTGGGGCTGCAAGTTAAAATACCCAATTTTGTTCGGTTCTGAAAGTTAGCAAGGAAAGGAATATTAGATCTTGAGTGTAGGAACTTGGATTTTGTCAAGAGGTACTAAAACATACAAACGAGTTCTTACGCCTTGAATCAGAACTGGATCCAGGCAAATAATTTTCGGTAGCCGGATTGTTAGACGTGAGTCCCGCGCTGTCCATGGTAACTAGCTTTTGTGTGGCTTAAAGCCAGCATCCATTTTCTCCTTTCATCATTCTCTCAAAACAACTCCGTGAGGGGCATTCGCTCGGTCTAGTAGAGGAAGGAGCCAGGCTGTTTCAGGTGACGGCCAGGAAGGTCTAGGACGCGCGACTGCCGGAGGGCTCACCTGGCTCCTGGGCTGGTCCCGCCCCGGGTAGCTCCAGGGGAATCCCGCCGGGTGCTGGCTCCGCCCCCCGCGCCTTCACTCTGGGAGCCCCGCCTTCAGGGGGCCCGGTGAACCGCCACTTCTGCGGCCTCCAATGAGACGTGGTTAGGGGCGGGAAGGGGCCCCGCTGGGGGCCAGTCTGATCGGTCAGGGGCGGGGCTACGGCGGGGGGGAGCCGAGGAGCCGCACCGCGGTCTTCCCAGCCGGGAGAGAGCCCGGCGCGGGCGGCGCGCGCGGAACCTTGGTGTGCGCGCGCCCGCCGCCCGCGCAGCCCCTCAGCCCGCTCCGCCCTCGGGGTCGTGGTGCCAGTCCTTCACCTGCTGTGCACTAGCTCCCTGGACAGGGGCTGGGGAGCCGGGTAGGGGCAGAGGCGCGAGCCACGGGACTAGCGCCTGAGGTGGGTGCGGAGCGGGAGGCCCGGCGGGCGGGCGGGAGGGTCGCGCCTGGATCTGCGCCTGGGTCGATCTGGCCGACCGACTGTGGGTCGAGGTGGGGAGAGGCCGGCCAGGGCGCAGAGCCGGCTTCTGGCCTGCCTGAATCTCGGGAGCAGGTTCTCGCTCCCTGGTACCCCTCCCAGACCACCACCCTCCCCGCGGTGGACCCCCGCCCCTCTCGCTGCCTGCAACCTCCTCACCCCTATCGCCCTTTGTCGCCTGTGCACCTGCACGCTCCCTTGCCCTTCCACTTCCCTTCTAGGCTGGACCCTCTCCCAGCCTTACCCCTCTCCTTGCCTTCCCACACAGCCCCAAATTAGACTTGCCCCAATTTGTTCCCTAGATCCATCTTTTTCCCCCTTTGTCGTCTGTACACCTGTCTGTCTCAGCTCTGCCCATTCACCCCACCACCCTGTCCCCTAACATCATCTGAGTCCAGCCCAGGCCATTGTCCTCATCTCCCTCCCATGGTACACACACACACACACACACACACACACACACACACACACAGCCCTGATTGTCCCCTACACCTGCCCCAGCCTCAGGCCCTCTCCAATCCTCACTCCTTTGTTGTCTCAGCAGCTGTCCCTGAACTCTATTCATCCTTCTCCCCCAATGATGCCAGACTCTCCTCTCCCTCTGACCAGAGATGCCCCCTCCCAGCTCTGTTCTGGCATTTCCTGGGGTGGTGTCCAGCCCACTCCTCAATCAGCCAGTTCATTTCCTTTCCTCTTTCAGCTGGTCCAGTCTCCCCTGGTCTCCCATACTCCAGCCCATTCCCCTATCCTCATGTATCCTCTCTTCCTTTCTGCACTCTTCTCCCATTCTTCTGGTCGCAGCCACCATACCTTATCTTCTGTCTCCACAGGTGCTCTGGAGGAACCATGGAATTGAGTAGCAAGAAGAAACTCCATGCCCTGTCCCTGGCTGAGAAGATCCAGGTGCTGGAACTCCTGGATGAGTCTAAGATGTCCCAGTCTGAGGTAGCTCGGCGCTTCCAGGTGTCCCAGCCACAGATCTCACGCATCTGCAAGAATAAAGAGAAGCTGCTGGCAGACTGGTGCAGCGGTACAGCTAACAGGGAGCGCAAGCGCAAACGGGAGTCCAAGTACAGTGGGATTGATGAGGCCCTGCTCTGCTGGTACCACATTGCCCAGGCCAAGGCCTGGGACGTGACAGGACCCATGCTGCTCCACAAAGCCAAGGAACTGGCAGATATCATGGGGCAGGATTTCGTGCCCAGCATTGGCTGGCTAGTCCGCTGGAAACGCCGAAACAATGTAGGCTTTGGGGCTCGCCATGTCCTTGCCCCTCCATTCCCCCCTGAACCACCTCCCCCAGGGCTCACATCTCAGGCCCAGCCGCCTCTTTCCCTTAAAGACTTTTCCCCAGAGGATGTTTTTGGTTGTGCCAAAGTGCCCTTGCTGTATCGGGCAGTGCCCGGCAGAGCAGTTGCTTGTGATCAGGTACAGGTACTGCTATGTGCCAACAGCAGAGGCACAGAGAAACGACGGGTATTGGTTGGCGGGCTCCGGTCAGCTCCAAGATGTTTCTTTGGGGTCAGCAGTGAAGCGCTGCCTGCCTCTTATTACCCAGACCCAGGCATCCCCTGGTCAGAATGGTTAGCACAGTTTGACCAGGACATGGGTCAACAGGGCCGACAGGTAGCCTTGCTGCTGGCTGACCAAGTGATGGAGGAGTTGGAGGGCCTGCCTGGGTTCCACCACGTGAGGCTCTTGCCTCTGTCTGCCTCCAGCACCACACCTTCCCTGCCTGGCTCTGTAGTCTGGGCCTTTAAGGCCCACTACCGACACCGACTGCTGGGCAAGCTGACTGCTGTCCAGAGCGAGAGGGATGGCACCTCACTGGCTGAGGCTGGGGCCGGCATCACAGTGCTGGATGCTCTGCACATGGTGGCTGCTGCCTGGGCCAAGGTGCCTCCTCAACTCATTTTAAGCAGCTTCATTCAGGAAGGGCTGGCCCCAGGGAAAACACCCCCATCCTCAGACAAAGATTCTGAGATGCCACCAGTCCCCAGTGGGCTGAGCCAGGAGGAGTTTTCCCGCTTTGTGGACCTGGAAGGTGAGGAGCCAGGGCTTGGAGTTTGCAAAGAGGAGATGGGCACTGACAATGAGGAGGGGAGCAAGATGGACAGCTTTGAGCCCTTGCCCACCAAAGCTGACGCCCTGCGGGCCCTGGGTACCTTGAGGAGGTGGTTTGAGTGCAATGGCACCTCCCCAGAGCTTTTTGAAAAATTCTATGACTGCGAGGCAGAGGTGGAACGGCTCTGCTGCCTGTGAGGGTGCTCGGCTGCCACCAGAGCCCTCCTGCTCTGTTTCCCATGGAAACGCCTCTCCAGAAGGCAGATCGGCCCTTTCCTGTGGAAATACAGTGTGTGGAAGAGAGGACTTGCGACTTCAGGTCTAAGTTCAGAGCCAAAGTGCCCATGCCCTGAGAAGAGGCTCTAAAGGTGGGGCCTGGAGGTTGGGAGTCTGGCCTATATAGTTTCCAAACTCTGTGAGAAGGTTCTAGAGCCTAGGGAAAGAATTTGGAGGAGCTGGGGCTTGGCAAGATAGGACTTGGGCTTTAGAGACAGTGGCTGTATTCCTTGAACACTATGTTAAAAACAGTTCTGCTTCTGGAATAAAGTTTTTAACTAGAAAAAAGGCCAGGGTGTGATTTTTATCAGAGGAGGGTAAAATCTTTCAATTCAAATTTTATTTTAATTTTTTAAAAATATTTTTAGGCTGGGGATGTGGCTCAAGCGGTAGCGCGCTGGCCTAGCGTG